ATAGAGACCCAGTAGGATATTCTCACTCTCATTTCAGACAAAATCCAAGAAGAATATTGCCAGCATCAATATTCTTGCACCAAGTTACATAAGACATTCAGAAGTTAGGCCTTACAGTGAAAACCTGTTTTGCAAAGCAGCTCTGAGAACCAGTCTCCTGTTCATTGTGTCTTCATGCTTTTCTAAGAAGTTGCTCCTATTTCACAAGTCAGAAGACAAAAACCTGTTTGTGACTTCCAGGTTTAAACCAAAGCAATAAAGCTAAGCAGGCTTTCTTTTCTTACAACTTCATCATTTACAAAGGTGTTGAAAGCAAGATCCAGACCCTGAGGGACCCTTATTACCCTAAAGCCCTCAGGTGTTGAAATTGGAACACAGAAGGCAGCAACTGATGCGGCCACTGATGCAGCAACTTTTGCCCCAGCAGTGCTGGCTCTGCAGAGACAGCAGCAAGGAGGACTCCTCATGGTCTCTGCTGGATGCTCACTCCTGTACATGGCTGCAGGTTGGGCAGAAGCCTGCCTTCACCCCCAGACTGGCTCTGCCCCTGTGTTGCTCTTCCTCCCCATGTGATGGAGCAGCAGCTTTAGCCCTCATCAGCACTGGACTCCAGCTCATGGAGGCTGAAGGACACAGTAGTGGATATGTACAGTTTATGTTGTTACTGTTGAGTTAGTGCAGTCATTTTAAGAAAATTTCCCTGTTATTCCCTGGCACAAGAGTAGTACAGGTTCATGCCACAGCCTTGCTCCTCTGCCTCTGAGCTGCCTGACTGCTAGTCACATAGCATCCAACATCTCATCTGTAACACATATATCCCCACACCAGCTCAGTAGGAACATGAGTCAGTAATGGTGGAAGTGAAAGACAGTGACCAAAAGATCCTTTTCCCAGTAAGACCTACATAATGCAGGCTAAAGAGCCCAGGGTGTTTCAGCTGATTACTTTGGGATGAGCTGAATCGCCCTCCAGGCTCCACAGCTCACAACAAAGCCACCAAAGTGGCTCTGAACGCCACTGTGGGAGACTGAGCTTGTGATTCAGGTACCTTGACATAAGTATCTTACATCATTTGACATGATACATAATCTCCCCTAGGGTCACCTGCTGTAGATGTGGAAGGACCCCCTCAGGTTCTATACCATATCTGCCAGTCCCCTGTCAGTATCTCCAGCACCCAAGACATTGATGGATGATGATACCCAGCCATGCCTTGGCATGAAGTCCTGCTCCAGAAGCTGCCAAAATGCAACCTACAACAGGGCAGAGCTTGACCAGTTTCCACATTAAAAGACTGAGCTGTCATGACACTCTATTTTCTTTTTATATATATTTTTAATTATTTGGTTTTTAATTGCCTAGAATGTAAAATCTGTGCTCAGCTCCCAGCCAGTTCTGTGGTCAAAGCACAGAGCTTGAGCTTAACTGCTACAGCATTTTTATTGTCTCTCTGGAAAAAAAAACCCACATTTGGTTTAGTCCTGAACAGAATAGTCTTGCTTTGATTGCACATCTCCAAATGAACATGTGGAACAGAGTTCAGATCTTACACAGTTTAATTATCCCATGTTAACAGCAAAAGGTGGGAAAAGGACAGCTCAGGAAAACAGCATCACAAGGCTGTACTGAGAAGAATGACTCACAAGTGGCAAAGGAGGAAAATAATCCATTTCCTGATACAGCTTCCAAGAAGCAGCTAGTTCAAAATTGTTCAGAAAACAAATATAAATTGTTAAATAACACACACACAAAAATATTTCCCCCAAGTGTTCCTGTTATTTTGATTTGGTTTTGTTTGTTGGTTTTGGTATTTAAATTCATGTATTAGACAGGCAAAAAGTTTAATGGAATAATGGTCTGTTTGCTGTAATTGCAATAATGTACACACTTGATTAGAAAGGAAAAGAACTACCCACAGTGATGCCATAACCCCCATGCATCATTAACACCTTTTAAATACATAAATAATACATTGTCAGGCTGTCTAATGCAATTTTAACAGTATAACCTCTCTTACCACAGGACCAGCCACAACAGAATCCAACAAAACCGTCATTGTATTCCTGGGTTTAAACCTCAGACTCAGTGAACAGCCTTTATGGTGATGTACCAACCACTCTGTTGCAGAGCCAGGAACATTAAGACCCAAAAGCCCTCCCTTATTCAAGAGCATTTAGGGGAGAGGCCACCAGTGTTGTCTCTGCTCTACCTGCCACCTCCTGCCTGCACGGTCACATTGCAAGATGGACATACAATCCATGTCTGCTTGTCACCTTCCAGCATCTTCCGTCACCTGCTCAGGCACAGAGGTGTTTTCTGGAGGGCAGCTTCTGACCATGCCCAGGGCTGTACTTGTCCATTTCCTAGCTGCCCAGATGGCAGACCTCATTTGGGAAGTAATCTCAGGCCAAAGATGACAAATACACATGAACAGACTGATGCAAAAACTGCCGCAGTTTTTGAAACCCTGCAAACAAACACTTTCTTACCTTTTATTTCTGGGCACTTTTTGGGCACATTCATGTAGGGCTTGCTTCTGTAAGAGGTGGTAGCTACAAAAACCTCCCTTTGCTAACTACACCCATAGAAACTGGGTGACTGTAAACACAGGTCTTGATCTGGGTCTGCAGCATGTGTTGCATACTCACCAGTGACAGATTATGTTTAGTAAATGTCATTTGATTGGCTGGAGAGAAACCAGGATTTAAGGAAAAACACTCAAATGGCATCCACTGAATTCAGGGCACAAAGACAGCCTGGGGTGTCTCCAGGAACAGGCTGAACTGACAAGTGTATGCTAGGGAACATACTGGAGCAAAAGGAATTAGGTTGCATCCCCGTCCCCGTGCAGAGAAGTCGCAGAGCTGTAGTCTGTGCTTAACCCAAGAAGGTCTTTTAATTGCTATTAAAGATGCATGTATGTCCCTCACATTCTTAACTCTTGACAATGGCTCCGACAGACATTCAGATAAATAGGGTTGTCCAAAAAAGCCCCTAGATACCACTGCACCATCTTATCCATTGGGGATTAGAGTAGATGACCTTTAAAGGTCCCTTCCAACACAAATTATTCTATCAACTCACAAGGGTGAAAGACCCTGTAACCTGTTTAACATCATTATGTATCCACTCTTTTCATGGTGCACTGGAATGTATTGAAGCTTGTGACATGCATGGCACACACAGACATACATGAGGAGAGACAATCTGCAGAGGCTGAAGAGTCACCGTCATGACAGGAATTAAATGTCACATTAACATAACCCAGTCAACACATGTGACCACCACAAATGCTACTCATTGCCATCACATCTATTCAAAACGATGTCTCATGCTATGCTAGGAGGTATCTCTTGAGAAGAAATCCTGTTCTAACTCACCACTGGAGGGGTGAAATCCCACTCAGCCTGGACTAGGAAAAAGGGTGTTGGTTAAATACATGATCAACACACTTGGTTAATACTGAAAAATATAACAAGCTTACCTAAGATGCAGTACAGTCACAGATATACCATTGGGAGTTACTTAAAAGCAGTAAGCTTTTCACTTCATATTTTCACTTTGATTGGTCTTTCAATAGCGAGGAACACAGTAAAATCAAATCAAAGAGTTTATTTGTACAGGAAATAGCAAAAATAGCACCACTGAGAGCTACACAGTAAAGACTTTGATTAACCCTCGTATGAGAACATGTTATTTCATTTCATTTTTCAGTAAAGAAGAGGCAGATTTTATCTGCTATTTGGTGACAAAAAGACTCCAAGGCTGGCAAAATATATCTGGGCTTTAGCCTCAGGATCTGACTCTGGGGTGGTTGCAGACATCTGTGGCTTCAGCTTGGCTTAGCCAGCTTGGGAGCACCATGCCATATGAATGTGCCAGCAGGGCAGGGTGCCTCTTTGCTGTCTCCAAAAGACCTGATGAGATTTCCAGACACATTCAGCACTAAATGCCTGTGTCAGGATCATTGCTCTCATCTCTCACTACAAACTGCTTTGTACAGAAGAGTTTTGCAACTGCAGCTGCTTTGTTGGCTGGCACGTAAATCTGGGCTTTTCAGACCCCATCCCCTCTTTACTTTTTCTGCATTCTCAGGTTGATTTTGGCAATTTGCTGATAGGGGAAAAGGACGTGGGCCTGATACTTTGCTTTTGCCCTTGAACTCAATTTCCTCCAGGTTTCTCAACACCTCTGACCCTCTCATCAGAGACCAACCTCCTCCTCCACCAGCCAGCAACATTTTACCTACTCTCTAAAACATGATCTTGCCAAATTATTGTAGTGGTTCATTCAAAATGGTGAATTGGGTCACAGTTGGCTTCCCAAGATTAACACCAGGGGGCTTTCTATGCTACTCTGGCTGGTTTTGGGGTGAAGCAGTGTTGGGGAGCTGTGTGTGCACTGACAATGAACAGGGGATTTGGCATCCCTGAACTGTCAGGGGACATCATGGAAGCTTTTTGCAGAGGCATCTCCCTGACAGAAGAAATTTAAGCTCCATCTGCTAGAACTAAACCCTCTGAGTACTGAAGTTCTTGCACAGGGAGCAGTGAGGAGGTTTACACCATCTCTGTGGTCTCTTCAGGCCTTACTGTGAGATCCCATGTGGTCCCATGAAAAATATCTCCTATAGGATACGGATTCACTTATGGATAGAAGAACATTAAATTTAATAGGGATCTTCTGGGAAACACATGCTGGCTGTTCATAACTGTCCACTGTGAGTTGAATGTACTGGAGACCTCTTTTCCAGCTTTGGCACGGCTTTCCCTTCCTCCCCTCCATGTGGATGGCAGACAGCACCAACAAGCCTGTGATCAGCCTGTGTCTCACAGTTAATGCCCTGGGCTACAGGATTTGATTGTAACTTCAAGGGTAAGGAGTAAAGCTTTGAAAAGAGGTAACCAGGATAACAAAGGTGTTGGCATCAGAATGGTTTTGTATAAACAGCTATACAATGCATTGGTATTATATGCTCTCCAAAAGAGGAAAATCCACTTATTTTTAATGTTTTAATATGCCCTGATGTTAGAGAAAACAAAAAACAAATTCACATATCACATCAAAGATAATAATAATAATAATAATTATAATTCATAAAAATAATCTGACCGACCGGCAGCATTTGTTGGCTTTGAAGGCCTCTTGTGAAGAAAACAGTTGAAGGCATCTGAGAGCTCTTGGTAGGTGGGATGAATTCAAGTTTTAAAATCAAGTCTGAGGATACTCCCTGCAAGTTAGGGCCCTTTGACGTTGGGAGGTCTGGCAGCCAGGCTTGCATAGTAAGCACACTGAGTAGGGTCACACTGTCCATTAGCTCCTGGAGGTCCCTGTGGACCCTTGAGACCAGGCACACCAGCTTCACCTTGAGGGCCGGGTGGTCCTGGCATCCCATCTTTGGCATAGCCAGGCTCCCCTGGGAGACCTAAAACAAAACCAAAATGCCCTTTTGTGAGTGACTGTCACAGGGTGCAGTAATCAGCAGTGTAGCATCACAGCAGATGGTTTTGCTGCCAAACTGGGATGCAGACATCCTTTTCCACAGATATGGGTCTGGCTAACATGTATCTATAAGGACGTCAAGTGCGTCTCACCTGAAAGAAAGATTTCCACCCTCTATAACATCCTTGGGCTGCACAGCTCCAGTAGGGCTGCTCTTCCTCCGTCACCATGTTGAAGCTGTGCAACTACCTGATGACATATAGTCCTCATAGAGAGGAGGTGAGGATGGGAAAGTTTGAGGCAAGAGCCATCTTAGGAGCCAGCCAGGAGATAGCTCACTCGTACAAAGCATATTGGGTCCATCATCATTTGAAGGCAACACAGGGCCAGTACAGCAAACACAGACCATGTATTTACTAAGGTTTCCCATAGCTTCCTCCCCCAGCAAAGCAGAGTAAAGGCAAAACTGATCAATGGCTCCTAATTTCAAATTAGAAACAAAAAATGTTTGCTGCTTCTTTGTCAGCAAAGGTAAAGCACGAGCTCTTTGCCTGAAACACAGGTGTTCAACATGACCTTTTATACCATCTAAAGCTGCCTGGATCTCTGGGTTCAGCTTGTTCACAATAAGATTCTGGCAAGGGCAGATAAGACTCTGCACAGTGTATCTAGTAATTAAAGCTTCAATTTGGATTTGTGGCAAAAGCCAGTTAACCTTGCTGTTACTGAGATGGATCGTTATACCCGTCAATCAGTCTGAGGAAATAAAGGTGGCTAAATATGATGCTAGTGATACATTTCTTCCCTTTGGGCCACTTTCTGCAGAAATTATGTATACCATATTTATGTTATTCTGATTGTCTATCTAATATAAATGCTGGAGAAGGACTCTTCATCCCTAATATCTAATATGGGTGCTGGAGAAGGACTCTTCATCAGGGACTGTAGTGATAAGACAAGAGGTAATGGGTTCAAACTTAAACAGGGAAGTTCAGGTTAGGTGTAAGGAAGATGTTCTTTACAGTGAGGGTGCTGAGGCACTGGAACAGGCTTCCGAAGGAAGTGGTGAATGCTCCATCCCTGGCAGCGTTCAAGGCCAGGGTGGACAGAGTCTTGGGTGACAAGGTCTAGCTGGGAGGTCCCTGCCCATGGAAGGGGGTTGGAACTGGATGATCTTAAGGTCCTTTCCAACCCAAACCTTTCTATGATTCTATGATTCTAATATAGCAGAGACCTTGTAGCAGTTCTGAGTGATGTGCTTTGTGGGGTGGTCTGAATAAACACACCTGGAATTCCTGGAGGACCTATTTCCCCTCGTTGGCCAATGCCAGTGTCTCCTTTCTCACCCTTTGCTCCTCTTTCTCCTATAGAGAGGGAAAGAAAAACAATGAACCGATGAGCAGAATTCAATACTACCACCATGGGTCTTCCATCCACACTGAAGCCAATATATTTGCTAAAAATAGTTCCTAATTATGGCCAATCCTCAGAGATGAGACATTAAGTGGGAATGAAGATATGCCTCACTTCAGTTCTGGCCAAGGGTGGAACACACCAGCAATTGCTGGTCACATTCACCACGTCTGGTGTAACAGACCGAGGCTGCTTCTAACACATGCATTCTGAGGACCACTTAGATGCTACCAAAAGGAGATGCCAAAGTCAAAGTGTGGTGGACACATCCCTTTATCAGACTGCCCAAACACACCAGATTTCTCTCACCTTTGGGACCAATCGGTCCAGGTGGCCCTTCAGACCCAGTCTGCCCAGGCCGGCCAGGCTCTCCCGGAGGACCAGTTCTTCCTGGGAGTCCTTCCTTCCCGGGGGGACCAGGAGGTCCTGGTCTGCCATGGGACACTTTGACATGTGCAGGCTGTATCTGAGCCAGGAGATAGGCTAACTTTGCTGTGAAGAGTAGGAAATGGGTTTGTTAGACTAGAAAGTCAGTGCTCCAAGAGATGGAGAAACAGAACCAGTGGCTCAATAAAGTCCAAGTACTGTCACAAGTCAATTTTTCAGGGCCACCCATTTGTTGTTCCCATAAAATCCTTCCCCGTAAGCCATGATGATGACACCATGACCCTCTCTATATTAATTAAACCTAATTTCTTAATAATTTTAAGCTTCTCCTAGATTTCATACTTAACTCTAAACACTTCTCATCCTCTGCTCCTTATCCACCAAGGATCTTATATGTCCCCTCCTTTAGCTGTGCAGCTGGTGATTTCTGTCAAATTGGAATCATTGCTGCTCTGAAAAGAAGAGCATATTTCCACTGCTTCTGCTGCACAGAGCAAGATGGTACATGGCTGCTCTGTAGGGAGAAAGCTCACTTTTCCTGTTCTGGGCTGTAACACGTGGGGTTAAAACTAATGTACCCATCTCTGGCTGTGAAACTGTAAGTAAGGCAGCTCCCTGTGTCAGCATATTCTCCGATTTCCAAGCAGGCACATTGCTTGCCACTTCCATATTAAGACCCTGAACAGCCTAGAGAGCTCTTAAGACATACTCAGCATCACAAAAACATCTGACAGAATAGAAGGAGAAGGATTTTCTATCTGCCTTTCATTGATCCACAATCTTGAATGCTTTTAGATTGGCATGGAATTTGAAGTGTGAGAGTGTGTAAATAAAACCCTTGAAATAAATCACTCCATTGAACCGTGATCTTCAGCATGGAGGAAAATGCCTGCAGCTATGTGTCAGCTTCTCCAAGAAGCAACACAGCTCTGTGTTTCACTGTAGGTGGGGTCAGTAGTGGTCTGCAATTCATATGCTTTGAGAGAAGCAGCAGCCCATATCCATTCCGCCCCCTCTTCTCACACTGATGAGTGTCACATCCAGAAATCAGAACATTTCTCCTCCAGCTGGGACCTCAAAAGCAATTTTATGCTCTACTATAATTACTTTCTCTTCCAGGTCCCCAAATTAAGCTGTTTGAATTTGTATCTTCTCTTGTCCCACCATTGCAGCTCAG